TGCCGAGGGTGGGGAAGAGGGACATGCTCGAGTGGTGCTTGAGCAGTGTAGTGGTCTTTGCCGTCTGACGCCCTCCATTGCTTTATCTGGCCTAATTGTTCAAGGCCAGCTGCCTCAAGGTCATCCAATACCTCAGTCAGCGCTTACAGACGCGCTGACCTACAGAGACTTGACCTACTTCCACTCGGACAAACACACGTGCTTCTAGGTTCCCGCGGCTGCCCAAGCACCACTCAAACATGTCTTTTTCCCCCCTCGGCCGCCACGCATTACTTAGGACCACGGCGCTCCAGCGGAATGACATGTGCTCCGAAGTCCAACTTCTTTTGATCTATTCTTCGTTCTTTTGTGTATACAATAAGCCATTCCTTCTATTGTGGCCTCCATTGACTTCTCTTCTAGTAAGTAACCATGGTCTGAAGATCGCAGTTTCTAGGGTTTAACTTACTTAACCCCCTTCGATATTAGTGACCGTCTGACGTGATCTATACACGCAACTTCTGATGTGGCCTACTGTCCCTGCGCGTTGTTCTGACTTTCCGACGTGTCTCTGCGTATTTGGTGATCTGCAATCGTGATTTCTCATGTGGTTGATCTCAGTCATTTTCAAACCTGCGATATTGGTGACCTTCCGAAGTGATATGAACACGCAATTCCTGATGTGGCCTGCTGTCCCTGTATTGCTGTCCCTACGTATTTGGTGATCTGCAGTCGTGATTTCTGCTGTGGTTAATCTCAGTCATTTTCAAACCTCCTTCGCTTTGAACTGAATTTTTCCTGTGTCATCTGATGTGACCACCATATGGAGACTTTCTGCATCGACGAGACTTTGCTGACGATAAATACAGACTGTGGTCTATTCCAGTACACCAGAATCTTCTTTGGTTTCAGGCTAGTTCCGGCCATATTCTAGCAAACGATGAATGCTATGCTATCCGGCATCCCTGGTACGGTTGGGTACTTGGACGACATCGTCATGGGTCAGTCCGCGACTGAGTTCCAAGATCGAATGTGTTCAGTACCCAAACGCGTACAAGAATATAGCTTCCGCTTGAAGGTCGACAAGTAACAGTTTTTTTCGAGTCAATCAAGTACCTCAGATTCATATTTTACGTTACTGGTCGCCACCCAGATCCTGAAAATATTCGTGCCATCCCCCCGAATGCCTGCATTCATGTATTTCTCAGACATTGCTTGTTCTTTGGCTTGAGCATCTACTATAGCGCATTCTTACGGTCGATACATGATTTACGAGTCTCATTCAACCATGTTCTTCATAAGTGTGCTTCCTGCTGCTGGACCTCTGACCGTAAAAGGTCATCTTTTCAGCTCAAGTCGATACTGAGTTCAGATTTGCTACTCATACACTTTGAGCCGACACTGCCAAT